AATCCATCTAACGGCTTTTATCCCTTTTTTAAGAGAAGGGTAGGTTTAAAAATATTTTATTTCAAATTAAGCTTGAAATATTTTAGTTAGATGTGATAAGACTATTTAAACATATTAATATAAAAAATAAAACTCACTGAAATTGGGTTAAATAATATTGTTGTGTATGCCAAGGTCTCCGAATGTTTTTAGAAGTTGTTTATTATTAGTATACAAAACTATATAAAAAAATACTCTAATTGTTGAAGCAATTTATTATTTAAATTCTATTTACAAAATATTTTAAATAAAGGTGTTGTGCTGATTTATTTTGACACATGTTTTATTTGTTTTATAATTTCTTTTTAAATATCCGTAAAAATTTAAAAAAAGTATTAGTTCTAATACTTATATATTATTTTAATTAAAATTAAAATAAAAAAAATTAATAAAGCTATCCATAATTTAGAGTTTATTCATTCACTGTGTCTTTCGTTAGATACAATACAAATAATATAGTTGTCCTAAAATTAAAAATAATTAAATTACTAATAATAATTAATATTGGGTGATATAAAGTATCCGCCGTATTTTAGTAAAAAATTTTAATTAAATTTATATGAGCCGCTATTAACTGTGACCTTTTACCATTTTACGGATAGCATCATAATTCCATCAGTGATTTTTAGCGATCGTTCAGTGATTTTTAGCTGCTCTTTGGTTGGTCAATTTTTCACCAGGCACCAAAACAAATTATAGACAGACAGTGTCAGGTCTGGACTATACGGATTCATCAAAGATGTGTATGATTTGGTATTGTCATAATAGAACACACTCCCTTTGCTGTTGACAAATTCTGATCGCTATTTGTTGATTGTTTCGTTTAAGCAGTTGAGTTGTAAGCAGTAAATAACCGAATAAACCGTTGCACCAGGCTAGATCAGTTTGTAATTGACAATTACTTTCAAAAACCACTACACACTCAACATTTATTTTCCCTCGATACAGGCTTTGAAGTCAATTATGAAATTAATAATGGCTTTTGACTTATATTTCATATTTCATAACTTTTCAGCGGTAAATAATGTGGTACCCAAACATCCATCATCTTTGAGTAGCCTATTTTTTTATTAAATAATATGAAACTCATGATTTAGTTTTTATATCAGTTAATATAATGCTAAAGTGAGTCACAATTTTGGTAATTGTACAGCTTTTGAGCATTAATTTGAAATACCACCTGTAAGTAAAAGAATAATTTTTTTGCACCCTTAGCGCTTAATCCGAAATAATCCAAAATAAATTTTAAAGTATATTTAGATCAAGTTGATATAGTTCACTTAAATTATTAAAAAGCGTAATTCTAAATAAAATGTGATACCTTTCCTAACTTCCTTCCTGGTATAAATTATTTTAGTGCCATCCATATTAGCAATATAGTAAACCGGTATTAAAATCACAGTAACAATAATTTTCCTAAGTAAGTTTTATAGTACAATCTTACCCTCTAAAATTTAACAGATGCCGCATTAAATGCAAAACCTTTTGTTACTCTCTAAAGTTTAACAGATGCCTGGTCTTGTACTATTAGCGTTGGGTTATTATATGACTACCTACAGAACAATGACGGTATTTAATTCTTAATAATAGTAACTCTTTTGAGTTAAATCTTAAGTTCTAGAGTTCAAAACATACCAGCCCACTCTTAGATAGATTTTTAACGGCTTGGAAACTTATCACCACATCACTATATCCTTTGAAGATTGTTGTGACAAACTCATTTTAAAAATGCCATTATGTCCTTTGGAGATATGTTGCGAAATTTTGTTATAATTGGATAGGTATTTGATGAGTACCGAAATCTGAGTCTGGTGAGACAATCACAGTAACACTGAATGTATTTTGCTGTTTTCTATTCTTCATAGCAAAGTATGCAGTTATAGCTTTTTGTAATACCTACCAGCCCACTTACAAATAGCTCTTAATATCTATCACTCTAATCTATCAATAAAGTGTATAAAAAAGAATCTTATGAGTAGACATTTACTTTGCATTTATCAACGATATTTATGTCCGAAAATTTAAACAAGTAAAATACTAAACTTTGCCGACATTTCAATACCAAAACATCTGACAGCTCGACACCATTATTACACCTTATGAGCTGGTTTAGTGTTTTCCATGCCGAAGTCTTTATCTAGAATTTTAGTTGACTAATCAAAGCTAGCGTAAAACTTAACCAGGAGCTAATAAGGAACCAGCGTACAATATCATTGATCTGGCTTAAACGACAAAAGCTTCCTCAGCAGAGGATTGAATACTGATGTCTACATTTCATCAATTAATTTGGTGTCCCAAGTATGTGAACTTCACAACAGGTGTCCTATTCCCCCTCGCTATGCAAACGGTGGCAAGAATCAAAAGCTTCCTGAGCAGAGGATTGAATACTGATCTCTATATTTCATCAATCTTAATTTGGTGTCCCAAGTATGTGAACTTCAAAACAAGTGTCCCGTTCCCCCTCGCTATGCAAACGGATTGCCCTCCATGCATAGAGTCTGTATTTTTTGAGATAAAGGAATAAAATTTTATAGTGTTTTTTGAAACACTTACTTATTTGACCATAACAGCCCGTTACCGAATTTCGACCTGACGCAGCAAGGTCCCAGTTTTTACAAGGACCTTTGCCGCGTGCACGCCTTCTTCAGTCCCGTACATTAAATCCGGTTAGTGCTCTTTTAACTTGATAATTCTACCGGAGACGCGGTCTATCTCTATGCCTTCTTTCTCCAATTACTGCTTTAAACACCTCGCTGAAGCATATTCATCCATTCTCACAATATAACCAAGCCTACAAAGCCGCTGGATGTTAATTCACTTAATTATATCAATGTCGTCGTAATAAAGCTCGTACAAGTCGTGATTCATTCGTATGCGCTTCGTTGTTGTTTAGTCGCTGTAAAGCAACATTTTCGTCCTTACAGGTTGATGCTCCAGGCTTAAATCCTTAAGTCAGACACGCGTTTTTTGAGTGAGTTTTTTGGGGCACGCGTTATTAAAATAGTTACATATGTTAAAATTGTGTACAAATCAGATCTGATTGATACAAAGGTTCTATATAAAAGTAGTAACTATATTTCAGAATCTTAAGATATTTCATGAATAAAACATAAATAGCTGCAATTTTCTTTCGATAAAATTCCGAAAATAAAGAAAAATGTCACATTCAATAGCTATTGCTCCTTGGCATGACGGAAATATAACTTACCTTAGTGCGAATATACTTTAACAGATAAATAGAGAGTGGACCCAATACAAAGTACTAAAAATATTTTAATTATTGGAAATGCAATACCTTGTAACAAGGTTTTTTAGTGTAGTTCGCTAATAGTTTTTTGTTTTGCATTCCTTATTAGTTTTTTATTGACGCTTCACACTTTTGCTTTGTTTATTTTAAAGTACAGTAATCCCCCGGAAAACTCGTTATAGGGATTCCCGCATACCCCGTATACACACGTTCAAAGGTATGCGAATCTAATTAGAAACTGTAAAAATCCTTGCGTTATATAGGGGAATGCTCGTGTTGTACGGAGGATTGAAGTCGCGTAATATAAAAACAGTTTATAAGAGTACAGCGTTATAAGGGGAATTACTGTATATATTTGTGTTAGGTTAAGCACTAACTACATGCGTGGCTGATTAAGAGTTTACCTCGTAATTGATATAAATTCAATTTAATAGGGTAATACATATTAATTTAAATATTTTAAATTTAGTTTAAACAATTAGGATCAAATTCTTTATTAATTTTGGTAAAAGGAATATTTTAGTTTTTAATAAATATACGTTACCTGGGAATAGCCGATTGAACTGTACACTCTCTCCTTTGTATATTATTACTGCATGTATATTGAAACTCATACCGCAATATCATTCGGTCTATAGCTGTGAAGACAGTTTTTTTTTTTAATGCATTTTTTGGTAACAGTTTTAAGTCCATATGTTACTACAAATTATCTACAAATCATATAACCTTTAATATTTTGGCTAAAAAAATGTTTTTTAATTTTAAAAGCAAGTTATTGGGCAACTTTAAAAGTATTCCATCTGAAGTTACAAACGTGTGAATTTCAATATATCTCAGAAGAACATAATTTTTATTCAATGGAACACTTTGACTTAAGACTATGGTAGTTTATGCTAAATAAAACGCGGCCTTAAACAGTATAATCAGAAAAGTAATACGTATTCTAAAATTATGATAGTGAGAAACAATATTACTAAGTTTCAGGAACTTTGTTTAAAAAATTTTGAAAAAATCTAACAATTACATTATTCGTCTTATTAATTTATTAATATAATTAACGGACAAGGTTTTTACATTGGATCAAATTGAATAATTTCCAAAGTAATTTGCTCCGTTAAATCCAAAAGTAGTAATAAAAATTCTGAAAGTGATTATAGAGATACTAAGAAATTTCCATTGGATTTAAGAGGACAGGTCAGTTTTGAAGTTGTTGATCCATTTCTACTAAAGCTTAAACCTTTTCTGATTGCATTACTCACATCATCAGTAGTAGTAAATTTGCCTGTTGTTGTCGCAGTATATTAAGTTAAAAAGTTTTTAAATTTAATATTTATGTTGCAAAATTTAATCCAGGTAACATTTAAAAGTTGTGAATCATTCTATTTGTTGCTCAAATTACTTAAAAAATTAATAAAAAAAATTAACTAAGTTTAAAACTTAAGAAATTTTAAAAAGAAGCATTACTTCTTATGGATATTATTTTTCGTTTTATAATACCTTCATAGTTAAGAAATATTAATAAATTTACCTCTTTCTCTCTTTCTTTGTTTTACTAATAAAGGTCAATAGACTCTCAAAATCGCTTACATTTTCAATCCGTTATCGTTTATTTGAATATTTTTTGATTTATATAAATATTTGCTAATTAATGTAAATATTTGTTTTATGCTAATAAATTTAATAATAAATAATTTATACTTTATTTTGTTTTCAGTGTCTACAAGTTGCCACAAATGTAACAGAACAAAAACATCATGTAACGAGAGAAATAAGAGGAAAGAATTTAGGTTTATGTCGAGGGTTTCGAGGATGCACTGTTTGGTTAACCGGTAAGACATATATACTGCTATCTAATACTGCTACTTATATTAAATAATAGTGTATAAAGTAAGATTATTTTATTAAATAAAATTAAAATTAATATATCTCAAAATAGAAAAATTAGACAAAAAAATAATTTTTTCCTATTTTTCCGCTAACTGTTAGGACTGAGTGGTGCCGGCAAAACTTCAATTGCCTTTGAATTAGAGGCTTATCTAGTGTCACGTGGCATTCCTGCATACGGCCTTGATGGTGATAATATACGCACAGGTTTGAATAAAAATCTAGGTTTTACACCGGCAGATAGAGAGGAAAATATACGTCGTGTTGGTGAAGTAGCAAAATTATTTGCTGATAGTGGCGTTGTAGCGATTTGCAGTTTTGTTTCACCATTTGCGGATGACCGTGAATTAGTGCGGAAAATACATAAAGACTCGGATCTTAAATTTTATGAAGTCTATGTAGATACACCTTTGTCAGTGTGTGAGACGAGAGATGTTAAAGGCTTATATAAAAAAGCTAGGGAAGGTATTATTAAGGGATTTACTGGTATAACGCAAGAATATGAAGTTCCACAACATCCAGAAATAGTAGTAAGCACAGATGGGTTTACGATACAGGAATCTACACAAAAAGTGATACATCTACTAGAAGAAGAAGCGATAATACCTAAAACCTTGCGAGACATCAATCAAGTAGGTTTTTATTAGAATTTTTATATATATATTATTTTTCCTCTATAATTATTTTTAATTATTCTTATTATCTAAGCTTCCTGAACTCTTCATAGATTCAAGTCGCACAGAAGCAGCTTTGCACGAAATAAAATCTTTAAAAACAATTCCTATCACTAAAATAGAACTGCAATGGTTGCAAATTTTATCAGAAGGTTGGGCATATCCTTTAAAAGGATTTATGCGTGAACAAGAATACCTTCAAACTTTGCATTTTAATTCCATATTAACGGAAGATGGTGCCTTCCGTGAAAATCAATCGGTGCCTATTGTATTATCTGTATCAGCTGATGCTAAAGAGAAATTAGATGGTATTAAATTATAGCAAAATACAAATAAAAAAAGTGTCTATATTCATAATTTTTTTTACAGGTGTCTCTGCGCTAGCTCTTACTTACAATGATAAAGCTATAGCTATTCTACGCAAACCTGAATTTTATTATCATCGAAAAGAAGAACGATTATCTCGTCAATTTGGTACAAGCAATCCTAATCATCCATATGCTAAAATGGTCTTTGAATCAGGT